GGGTCAGTAAGTGATCCTTGACTGACGCCAGCTTGGTGCTGACTGAAAACAGAATACTGGAAATGCTTAGCAGGTCAGGCAGCCTCCTTGGAGAGGGAAACTAGAAATTATGTTTCAGCTCAATGATCCTTCATTTTGATGAAGGGTCAGCAATGTGAATCATTACTTAATTTCTCTGCTCATAGTGCAGACAGAAACAAGTTAATAAATGACAGTGAAGTGCCATGTACAACCAAAAGCTCATATATATTTCAGACAAACACACAAACTAAGCACATACTTAACACACACAAACAGAGTGCTGGAGAAGCTCAGCAGGCCTGGTAGCGTCTGTGGAGAACAAAACAGAGTTAACACTGAGTCCAATACGACTCTTCTGGTTCTGAAGAAGTCATACCAGACTCAAAATGTTAACTCTGCTTCTCCTTCTACAGATATTGCCAGACCTGCTGAGTTTATCTAGTATCTCTGTGCTTATTTCAGATTTCAGACATCCAGTAGTATTTTTATTTTATTTGACATATTCAGCAATGTCAGTATTCTCAAATAAAAATTGAGATGCAAGAGAAGTCTTCTTAAAATTGTTTACCCTGCATCTGGGTTGAGCTGAAAAGTTCCCTCTACGGCCTCCTTTCACCCACCACCTGCTACGACACTCAAGTAATTTCTCCTATACATGCCATGTCCCCTATGCCACTACAGAAACACTACCAGCAGCATCAACCCCATCCTAAGTAACAGGAGCAAAAACTTGACACAATTAAAATAATACTTTAGCAAGAAATTACAGAGAGACTATCTCTATCTGTGAACAAGTAAGTGAATTTAGCACAGCCACCCTAACACTGCATCCCTCCTGCTGCCCCTGAATTGTTACAGACCTCTTTAAAATTCAGACACAACAGAAACAAAGGTAGGTAGGGCCAGTTCAGAAGCACCAACGCTTTACTTAGCCGCAAGTTAACTCTGGCATACGGTCAAGTAAAACAGACAGGAAAATTATGGCAGAATTTTGTTTTTTTAGAAACTTGGAATAAAAGTTTAAAGTACGGTTACAAGGCAGGCTGTCAGTGATGAGAGATGGATTCAAGGCGTTATTCTGCAGTGAAGTTCCTTGGTAGGAAACTGAGGAGTAGATTATGTTCACTGTGTCATTCAGTAACGTAGCTCAGGTAATTCCCTTTAACACCCCTTTCCCACCTCCACAGCAACAGTACGCTCAGTTTCGAGGTAAGTCCCTCTGGAGCAGTGATCTGAACTGAAGAACTGTAGAACTGAACTCTTGCTGAAAAGAGAGCACATTGCAGAAGCTTTTTATCTTGGACTCATCAATTGGGACAATGCAAAAATGTCAAATTTCAAATGATTGCAACAATTTATATTATGGGAGAAGATGATACTAATTGGTTGGCAAGTCAAATCTGACTGGCCAAGATATTGCCATGGAGAAAGCTAGCAAGGTCACTCAAAAACACACAATGCTTGAACCACACAATGCTTGAACCTATTCCCTTTGCTTTGCAGCAGGATCCTGTGTCTCTCTTATTTTAATAAAAGTAGCATAAATACTACTGATCATTTAAAATTTGACATTCATGCATTTGTCTCAAACAGTGCAAGATGAAAAACTTTGGGAAAGTGTGGATCTTTTCCCTAATAAAGTATCCAATACTGACATACAAAAATATTTATGATTGGAATATGGTGGATGCTGGTTTGGCAGTAGTTAGAGTGGTCCCAATTATAAAGTCATATAGCATGGAAACAGACCCTTCAATCCAACCATGCCAAAAACGTTCCCAAACCAAACTAGCCCCACCTGCCTGCACTTGGCCCATATCCCTCCAAACCTTTCCTAATCAGGTACTTATTCAAATGTCTTTTAAACACTAACTGTATCTGCATCCACCACTTTCTCTGGCGGTTCATTCCAGACATGAACTACCGTGTAAAAAAAGTTGCCCCATGTTCTTTTTGAATCTTTCTCCTCTCGCTTAAAAATATGCCCCTAGTTTTGAACTCCCAATCCTAGAGAAAAGACCCTTGCTATTCACCTCTATGCCCCTCATGATTTTACGATCTCAATAAGGTCATCCCTCAACCTCCTATACTCCAGTGAACAGTTGCTTTGAAGTTTTTAAGAATTAAGACTGTACTGTGAGACTAATATAGGTCATAGGTGGCAGATGTTGATGAACCAGTTAGGTTTTCCAAAGATAGCTCTGCAACTTTCCACAGTCTAGTATCAGATCATAACTGACCAAATTTGTTAAATCAATTTCATAACTTGCTCAGCAAAATATCTACTGTAAACCTCTGGGCATGAGTGAAAAGACATATACATGAACTAACTGATATTTATGATGAGTGACCACTATACTCCCCCACTGGTTTACCTCATTTGGGAACATGCTTCCCGAGTATCAAAATATTTGGTTTCAGTTCCCAAACTGGAGTATAATTCAGGCCGACATTCCAGTGCTGCACCAAGTCATTATACTGAAGCCCCATCTCTGAGGGGATACATGTCAAAAATTCAACTTCTTGAGGACTCTTTTGGTGCATCGGACAGCATGTGTCTCTTCAACTAACACGTCCATAAATAAATGCATGAGTCATTAGGAACACTGCTGATTCTGGGAAAATAGAAATTAAATGTGGTTGTCACATTTAAATGGAACCCACTACACTTCCAAAGTAATCCACTGCCCAGCTATTAGGGTGCAATAAACAATTATCTATGACACATTAAGTTCCTACTCTCATTACTATGGATTATGTTACTGAAGTGTTATTTGCAAGCAGAGTAACAAAGCCATTCTGTGCAGTTATGGTGCATTGAGACAGAAGAAAAAAAACTGCTCCTGATGCAGAGGTGCTTATATCACCACTAGGAGCTCCCCACCACATTGCTTTGAAAAACAGTGAAGCTGAAGAGGCCTATAAAAAAAGGGCAGTGTCAGTCTTAGAAGCTACACTTAAGTGCCGTGTGGGTGCCACACAATTGGGTTTTAAATTAGAGTCTGCTGAAAAGTCTTTTCAACACTTTTAAGTTATTTCACAGGATGTAAGTGCTGCTGGCTGGGCCAGCAGTTATTGTCCATGCCCTTTGAGAAAGCGCTGGTTAAGTGGTGACCGATCCACTGCAGTCCATGTGGCGTACATACACCTACTAACATGAGATGGATCGCTGGGGTCAAAACCACTGAACTCCCTTCTTGCATCCCATGCACTCCAGCGGTTCAAAAAGACACCTCACTACCTTTGATGGCAGGTAGGGGGTGGGTAACAAATGCTGGCCTACCCACTAATGCTCAGATACTAACAACAAACAAAATAAAATCTCTGCCATCTGTGTATTAAAAATTTCTTTGTTTATTAAAAATCTCAAAAGTGAGAGGGGGTGCAGTCCCTGAGATGACTTGACTTACCCTCCCTGTCAGAAAGCACAAGTCCAAAGATGTGTAGGCTAGGTAGGTTGGCTATGCTAAATTGCCCATAGTGTTCAGGGATATGTAGATTAGGTTTGTTATAGGGGGATGGGTCTGGGTGGGACGTTCTGAGGATCAGTGTGGACTTATTGGACCGAAGGGCTTGTTTCCACACTTTAGGGATTCTATAAATTCTATGAATCTCAGCTTCCATTAAACACAGGTGTGTACAGCAGGCCCAGGGTCAGAAAGTCAGCATGGAGAGAGCCAACAGTGCATCCATTAACCAGCACGGAACTGGTGTTTAGTGGAGGGGAAAATGATCAAGCTCAGTCAGATCAGAGACAGAACTGGGAACCAGTCAGTCAACTGGCAGTTTCAGTCTTAGCACAACAGAGTAACACTTCAGTCAGGCTAGGGTGAGGAATGAAAAGAGAGGCTCTTGTTTTTGAATGAAATTCGCCCGAGTCCCAGCAGAAGCGAAATAAAAGTTTCCAGCTCCATTCTTCTGGGCAGCTACAAATCAAACTAACGCATCACATATGTCTGAAAGCTGAAGAGGTGCGATAGGACTTTTCACTGTGTGGTTTTTCCAGCCTCAGCTTCCTGAGCTGTCAAACCTCTCAATCACAGCGCAGGCGGTGGGGAGAATTTGAAAAACATTAAAAACCAAATTGAAGAGCAAGTGGGTTTTTCTGGGCCAGGGGAGGCGGTGAAATGAGAGAGTGCAGCAGTAACAGAAATCAGTATGCAGTGAAGCTAGTGCCTCGACTCCAGGCATTGCTTAAATTCAGCGGCATGATGGCAGCCACTGCACTTTGATCCACAGACACTACAAAAACCTGACAGTGTAAACATTGCTGGAGTGGAGACAGGATTACTACAACAGGGCTTGAGGCAGGTTAGAAGATTTAAAATCCCAGCAGGGACAAATAATCACAGGGCATCATGCTAAGACTAGTTTTGGAAAGATCTGTGTTCCCTCCACACATGCATGCACACACAGACAATGAAGAGTTCAGCAGTGGTCTCTTTAATTACAGAAACAGATCCTATCGCCTTCACATGTAAAAAGAGCAAATGTACAAGTGACACTGCCAACCAAGCTTTGAGACGGTCGAATGGGGTCAAAAGGCACGAGAAGGTGGGAACAGAGTAGAGTTGGATGATCAGGCATGATCATACTGGATGGCAGAGCAGGTTCAAAGGGCTGAATTGCCTACTCGTATTTTATATTTCTAGGTGTAGCCAATGCAACTTGAAGTTAGACAGATGCCAGCCACATAAAGGGGAGGCTTTAATGAGGTGCTTCAAAAACAAGGGGGAAGATTAGAGCTCAAGTGACTCAAAGTTTTTTTTGTCAACCCAGTTGTTTAATAAAGCAGGGCAAACAATGCGAAAAATCCAGGAGTCACACTCACACCTAAATGATGACAAGTTTAAATCCATGAGATCTGAAGAGTCATACTGGATTGAAAATATTAACTGTTTCCTTCTCCACAATTGTTGCCAGACATGCTGAGTTTCTCCAGCACTTTTGTTTAAATCAGATTTCTTTTCTTCCTGCAGAACAAAGACCGAGACAGAAAGAGCACGATTCGAAGTTAACCAACATTAACAATGATGTGACCCACGGACTTTGCAAGCTAGTGGCAGACTAGGAGGAGCAGTACTCAAGATTGCAGCCACTGGAAGGGAAAGAAAATAAATAAGGAGCATGTTGAGGACAATTACAAAAATCTGCAGCAGTGCAAAAGATGAATGCAATACCTTGACACTTGGGCGTTCCTGTACTCAGAGTTTTAAAGAAAATTAGCGGAGGCCAAGCAAAGACTCCAGAGATGGGCTAGAGTTCCCAACTTGCTCCTTTGCAAAGAAAGATGCCAGCACGCAGCCGCACTGCCAACACAGCTGAACCGATAGCTGGTACCAAGGAGGAAATACAAAATCAAAATGCGACAAAACTACAAAAAGTGGCTTCAAGCACTGCAAAGAAACTTTCAGTACATGATTAACTTTTTCATCCCATGTCGGTTTGTCATGTAATAAGTATGTAATATAAAATAGCAATTTTGTATATAAAATAAAAATCTCAACACTCGGTCTTGTCCTGTGTATATTTGGGATGTAATTATGATTCTGGCATTGCCCAAGACCCCAAGAGGTCACAAGTTCAAATCTCAACAAATCTGCAGTGTTTGTGAAAAATGATATTGTACCTTCTCTCCTCTTCACCTGCCTCAGTGATTTCACTGTGCGTGAATCAGCGGGCTTCTCATCGTCTATGAAATGTGAATTTCCAGAGGTAGCCCCCAATCTCTTCAATACTGCCAGTATGTGAAGAATTCTTTCAATGTTACTAGGATTGAGTCTTCTTAGAAAATTTACATTTATTGTATATTATGGAAAAGGCAGAGACTATTCTGTACATTGAGCCTATGCTGGGTCCCTTCATTCTCATTCGAATCCTGTAACACTGCAGGGTTAACTTCCTACAAGTCCTCAGGTAATTTTTATTTGACCTCATTGATCATTTCCACTTCCTCCACACTCATAGGGAGCAAGTTCCAGGTCATTACCACTCGCTGTCAAAAGAAGTTCTTCCTCACATTCCACTTGCATCTCTTGGCCAAAGCATTAAATCACTATACATTAATCTTTGTGTCATCAGCTAAAAGGAGGAGCTTTCCACCTCAATCTCTCCTCAATCTCTCTTGCTTCAAGTAGAATGACATCAGTTTCTCCAACCTAATCTCGTAACTAAAATCCCTTCTCCCAGGAACCACTCTGGTCAATCTCTTTTGCACTCTCTCAAGGACCCGCATTCCTTCCTATACTGACCAAGAGAGGTCACGGTATTCTCATTGGGAGCTAACATCGCATTGGGCACTTTATAGAACTAGAACTATCTTCATTGTCACATATACTCATAGAAGTACAGTAAGAAGTTTACAAATCACTGCTTATGGCACCACCTTAGGTACAAAGGTATCTAGGTACAGATTCTTAGGAATAAATCAGAAAAATACAAAATCATAGGAATAAAGTAGAAAAATAAAGGAATAAAAAGTTCAGAATTACAATGCTTTCACCCCAGTCCATGCTAGCACCTAGCCTCCAGAATGAAAAAAATTACATAAATAGAGTTCATCTTCTGATCAAAGGTTCTACCAAAACAAATACAGGGCTCTTGCAAGGTTCAGCACACTTTCAATTCTTCCTGTCACCTTCAAAGATCAGTTTACATCAACCTCCCCCGGCACCCTCAAGTCCTTCTACCCTCACACACTTTTCAAACAATGCTACTAATTTTATAATTTCCTCTCCCTATCCCTTCTGCCAAACTCAAGCTGTTCATTGTATTTAAATGAACACTGACCCTCCCATTCTAATAAGCCTCTATTTTAGATATCCTAGTTTTGGAACAGATTTTACCTTTTTCAATTGAGAGTTAAGATTTATTGAAGGGAAGAGTGTTTGACATGAGCAATGAAAATGTGGGAGTTGTATTTATATCTAGACGAAGCAGCAAGCTGAAGAACATTGATAGACAAGTGATGACCAAGCGAGAAGCCAACAAAAGTAAGAGGTGCTGACTGCTGTTTCAACTAGTGAAAGATATGATGGAAGTCTCTTCATAATATCCCTCATGAATAAGATCAAGATGCGGTTCACTTACGGCACAGTGAGATACCTGGCACTTGCAATAACTGTGGGCTTAAATGATCTTGATGAATGTAAGGTGAAATCGCTGATTACTGTGATTATTTGGAAATGATCATTGTTACACAAGGAACCCTGACATTTTTCTGGAGGATTATTTGTAAACTGCACCATGGTGGCAGAAGTGTGCGCACAAATTTGCCTTGGGAGATGGTCACTTTCCTAAAAAAAAAGCTTTGCATACCGTAACTTTAAAGGCAACGTGTGCCAGCAACAGCTAGACCAGATACAAAAGGACAGCTGAACAAGAGTTTAAGAGAAGTTACAGATGCATTGCCAATTTGCATTCCGGCTTGCGATGCTCATAATATTCTCTCCTCACAAAAACATTTGTAGTTGTTCTTTCAAGATTTGGCTTTCTGTATTAGATGTTTCTCTCTATATCACCAGACATCAGCTGTCTGACAGGTGAACTGCTCCCAAGTTGCAACAGAAGCTGCTGCAGCTAAATATATACAACTTGCCACTAGATCCCCATTCTCCCTCGAGTTTTCCCTCTGAACCTCAAACCCATCACTCTGAGATGCAGTTAACATAGGACACGCCGCAATGAAGGCCTACTGTGAAACAGTTTTAAATTCTAGGCATTTTGGGAGTGATCAGGTAGGAGGAGAAAGACTGTATAACATTTTTAAGTTAATTCACGGAACACTCAAGCGCAACTTGGGGCAGGCAACAAATGCTGACAAGCCAGAGATACCCATATCCACAAGTGTATTTTAAAAAAAAATCAGTAAGTGCTGGCCTAGTCAGTGAAGCCCACATTCCACGAATAAAAGCAAGTTACAATCCATAGTGTTGTGAGGGGGGCAATTCCAGGATTTTGATCCAGTGACAGTCAAGGAACAGCAATACAGTTCCAATTCAGGCTGCTGAATAGTTTGGAGGGGAACTTGCCGGTGATGGTGTTTACATACATCTGCTCCCCTTGTCCTCGAGATGGAAGTGTTCATGGATTTGGAAGGTGAGCTCAAATGGAGTCTTGGTGAGTTACAATAGCACATCTTGTAGATGGTACACACTAGTGGCACTGTGCGACAATGGTGAAGGGGGTTGAATAAATGTTACATTCAGTCACTGTTCATCAAACCTAACATTGAGAAGGAAAGCCAACTATTGGCATATCTTCAGTCAGGAAAATAGCAGACAAGTACCATAACACGTACCAAGCTTTACTGAAGTCAGTCAATTGGAAAGGGGAGAGGGCGAGAGAGAGATGGAAGGGAGCGGGAGCGAGAGAGAGAGAGATGGAAGGGAGCGGGAGCAAGAGAGAGAGAAGGGATGGGAGCGGGAGCGAGAGAGAGAGCTGGGAAGGGAGCGAGAGAGAGAGATGGAAGGGAGTGGGAGCAAGAGAGAGAGA